AGAAGTATTCAGGCACTTAAGGGACATTCAGACACCCATCCCATCCCAAAATAATCCATTGAAATTCGTGATATTTAGTCCAACAACAGCAACAACAAAAACCACCCTAATCGCGCTTGAGTCGGGCGTCATGCACACAACATGTATGTGGATTTTTCAGCATTCGCTTGCGCGTCGAGCATCTTTACTCCTCGGACAGAAATGGGAGAAATGGAGCGAAAGGCCTGCCCACCGCTGCTTTAGAGGAAGTTCTGTTTCTCTTCAATGATTGAACACTATGCCATCAGCAGCTCCGCTTCCTTCCGGGGCGGGGGTTGTCCAAACATCTGGTCTTTGTGTTTCCCCAAAATGTTCAACAAGAGTTCCATCCATCAGCAAGTCGTTCCATCAATTTACAACGAATTTGTCCAGAATGCCGTTAAATTATTTAAGACACCCGAAACACACACACACCACATCGCACATCGCACATCGGAGGGAGGGAACAGCCCAAAAAACAAAAGAAATCTCTGAGCAGAAACATTCGAGTGAACGAGTAAACGAAATCGCCGCCAATTTATGACACTCCATAAAGCGGAAAAGCGGGGGGAAAGTGGGGGAAAGAAGCAGGGAACCCCCCCCACAACTAATTGCATTTCCTGTCGTCGGCGGAGGGGCGGGGAGCAAAGCGCATAAATTAACAACAACAAAAATACAACTTCCGATCGGCAATAGAATACAGCTCGGAGCATGGAATAAAACAGAACAAATGAAGCGTACAATGGTAATGGTAGGGGCGGGGGCGGGGCGGGGCGGGGACAGGGTGCGGGTCAGGGTAGGGGACAGCCCAAAGATAGCTTTGTCAAAGGGTCCAACTTGAGTTCCATTCATCCCAAAGTGGAGGGAGGCCCTGGAGTACTGGGGAGTTCTATTGGGAACAAATTCCATTCTACTCGCGGTCTGGGGGGGGGAGAAGGGTCGGGAGTAGAGTGGAGAGCCGTCAAAGCGTAGCGGGGCTGCAGCTCCCTTTCCATCACTGGCCAGTGGCCAGTCAGTGGCGTAGTCGGGAGGGGTACCCAAGGGGGTTCGGCACCCCCTCTCCACCGATTATTCCGGCTGCGCTCTTGCCACAGAGTCGCCACCAACTCCTCTGGACTCGAAAGAGGGCTGGGCAGGCAGGGGGGAGGAGAGGAGGGAATGTTAATTAGTTCTGCTGGCTGCTGTGGCTTGTTTATGCTGTTGTCTGTTGTCTGTTGTCTGTTGCCTGTTGTCTGCAGTTTATGTTCCCTAATTTTTATGCCCAGTGTAATTAAATTCCTGGACACTGCAGTGTGGAGCCTCTGACAGCTGGCCTCCTCCTTCGCGGCAATAAAAAGAAAGTCGAAAGTCCCAGGAAAACTCCAACCAAATCCAGCATACATTCGTTTATGGCTCTGGCGGGGCTAATCAACGTCATCCAGGAAGGAGAGGGCCCTTAAGGGGATGTATTTCTAGCTAAAAACCCGTAAAGTGGAATATCATTTCGGGTTCGAGGCTAGAACGTCGCTGAACCGTATAAAAATTAGAATTTTGCATAAATTACAGCTATTAATAGGGGGAGGGGAGGGAGTTTCATTAAGATCTGGTTATGCGCTTACTCAACCGCATCCCCCGATGGCCATGGCGTGAGGAAGGAACTGGGGAGTTTTCATCTTTATGGCAGTATTTAATAGACGTATCTTTATGGCTAAACATCACTCTGTGGCATTCAACAAGTTTCCCTCTCTAATATGCAAACATATCAATCCGTGTCACCGCCACCGCGCAAAGACCTTCGAGTGCAAGTGCAACGTCACTTTAGCAACTATTAGCTAACAATTGCATCTCTGTATCTGTATCTGCATCTGTCTCTGTATCTTCTGCTCTGCGCTTACCTAATCTCGGGTCCCTCACATCTGTTCTATATAGAATTACGCGTGCCACACAGATCCACAGCAGCCGTAACGTACGAATACGAATACGAAGACGAGTATTTCGTAATCTTCTGACAATAGACCCAGCCGCAGGGGGAGGGCAATTGGGTACGCCTTCTGCCTTCTATCTTCTATCTTTTGTTCAGTGTGTCAGTCTAAATATATACCTACCATATATTCGCCTTCATTCGTTCCTTCATTGTTTCGTTGCATTTCAATTGTAAATTTCATTAGAGAATCACAATCTCAAGAGATCTATGCCAATTGATCAAGTGTTGGCGTCGCTGTCGCTGCGACTGTCGTTGGTGCAACCAGTGCAACCTCAGACAAACGTCGAACTCTTTGAGTAATGTGTCTCTATGGGGGGGGATGGCCTCACGGGGACTTAGATCAACTTGTGGGAATACAACTGATCCATTTCGATTATTTCTGGCCCTCATGGTATTTAAATCTTGCTTTCAGCTTCCACGCGTACGCACATATCGTAATAAAGAGAAGACCCCGCATGAGGATAGATATCTTTGGCTTAATTGTTGCTACGTGTATTTCCAGATAAATGTTTGCTGTCTTGGAGATAATTGTTGCTTATTTGCCTGCCAGCCTGCCTGCCCGTTTGACCGATTCTCTGAAGTACACTGCCGTCCCGTCCCGTTCCTTTCCGCTCCGTTCTGTTGTATAATGTCAATTACTTGTGATTTACGACAGTTTAATGATAGACGGCGATGCCTTTAGGTTGACTTCACTGTCTTCTGGCATGCATGCGTTGTCGATGTCGATGTCGACGGCGGGGAAGGAGGGGGCACTGCATTCACATAATAGTCGGCGGTACATGATGCGGACTTCGCATGTGATGGATGTGATATTTGAGGCTCAATGTTCTCGGGCCCACTCTTGCATGTAATTGGCTCATAAAACTTTGCCAATTTGCCAACTTAAGAGCAGGGAATCTCTACTATTGAGAAAAGGGCACGTCAACATCGATTCTCAAGAACTTTCCTCATTACTGTGTGACGAAACCTGAACCTGAACTTGCAACAACTTGTGGATATGGTCCACCATTAGATTATTCATGAGTGAGGTCCAAAAATGCAGGTGTTTGGTGTTGGTGGCTCTTTCGGTCCCACTAAATTACAATTAGCCACATAAGGCAAAATGATGATTTCGGTTGGATATCTCTTCTTTCTTCTGTGTTTTACTCGAGTTTTCTTTGTGTGTATTTTGTTTGTTTGTCGGCTGAGAGCTTGGCCATTGAAAGCCATTCATTTGGATAACGAGTTTCTGAACACGGGGGCGCCGACGCATTTCACTTCGCTGAGGGGAGGTGCGAGACGGGGAGGAGGCACGGACAGGTCAAGACGATAAATAATCGAAAAAGTTTAGATGCTAATCAAGTGGAAAATTAAATGGTAATTCAACGATCGTTATCAACATTAAATTAGGGAAGAGGAAAGTAAAAGATTGACGGTGGATGAATTATCGACATTAAAAACTCGATAAATATCGATATGGCCAGAAATGTAAAAGTTCTAATGAAAATATAGAGCATCCTATTTGGCGAGCACAGCGATATGAATAAAATCGAATAATTATCGAAATTCTTTCGATTAATTTGCGATATATTATCAAAATATAGTCTATATTTTAAACAGTAAAATATATCTGGTTTTTGATCATAGAATTACCAATTTCTTGCCAATAGTTTTGCAGTTTTCGCCCATAGTCCAATAGTTAAAGCTCCATTTTTTGTAGATCGCAAGGGAATGAGTAACCCAACAGGTTCTGCTTTAAATGTCTGCATGATATTCTCACTCTTTTGTGGTTGTCTGTGTGTGGTTTCGGTTCTAAGCTGAGACACCGCCACCGACGGAGCAGAGCAGAGCGAGAACCGACCACCGAATGACTACCGAAAGGGAAACGAACTCATTGAAATTCTTGACAGGTTAGGCCCGCGAATTGTGTGGAATAACAAAAGAAATACATAAAATAGAGATAGAACAGATGGGGAATGAGCGGAGAGGCGAAGAAAGACGTCAGTTATTCCCTGTTCGGGGAAGGTTTCTGGGGACTGGGGTGGGGGAGGAAGACCACTTCTAGGGCTTTCCCTGTTTTCCGTTTAAGGCGGCGCCAAGCCAAGTTCATTTCCCACTGGCCCCACAGTGGGCTACTAATAAACACGGAATACTACTGTTGATACCAGGAGTCCCGGGCGGGAAAAGGCTTTAAAGGACAAGGACCTGGAACAAAGGCAGGGCTCAATGGCAGCGCGGCCATAGAAGCAAGTACAAGTACGAGTATCACCAGTTAGGAGACAATACTCGCAAAGTTGACACATATTGGAGTGCCATAGCCATTGTTTATCGCCTCGCATACAGGAAGCCGGTCGGGAAGAAACCGTCTCGGGGTTATTACACTCCCCAGCAGACAGCTTCTGTCAGGGAGTGCGGAGGGCACTGATTTGCGGTTGTTTCTGCTCTTCAATCTGTTCTGTTTTGTGTGTGTTTTTTTTTTGTTTTTGTTCATGCATTCGGCATTTATCAAGCCGCAAAGTTAATGGCTGATTAGAGAGTCGCGTCGCGTTGTCGGTGCCACTGTTTGTGGAAGTGGGTCACAGAGCAGTTTGTTGACTCAAAAGGCGGCACTATGCTAGCACAGAGGCACATATTGATAAGTGTTTCTGTTGCAGTGGCGGTTGCATTATGCATTTGGCCACCGATCGAGTGTTGGCGGATGGTTTTGTGAAAGAATTTACGACAGTTGTGGGTGCGGCCACTATCAATCAGGGGTTTTGGGATAGCAAGAAGTGGGCTAGTGGAGCAGCACTTCGGGCTAGATATTCCCCGATGAAGCCATTCGCTTGTAAATCTCTGAGCTTTCCGTCCAATGACCTGTGACTGCTGCTGGCCGCTGCTGGTCATTTCGAAACACGATGTTGCATAAGAACACTTATCCGGCATTCGACACGCCCCGAAGCAGAAACAGAAACCAAAGCTCAATTAATTATTATTTCGATGCTACCTTTCGGTTTCGGGTGGTAACATGAGACGGAACGGAGGGAGTTCGACTACTCACCTTTTCCAAAACAGAAATGTTTGCGCAACTCTGGGGACGTCTGCAAAGACCAGAGACAATGAACGGTTAGATAAATGCCAGACACAGGACAGGGACAGGTACAATAATAATAATTATTAATTATAGCCAGGGAGACACACAACTATTAAGGCTATTAAAATTAATCAAAGTCGTTCCATTACAACCCATTGCCATGTAGCCAATAAATTGAGGTACTTATTCTACCTGAACCACATAAATACTCGCAAAACAGCCGCAGAACACCCACTATCCACTATCCACTATCCACCATCCACTACCCAGCAGCAGAACCAGAACCAGAACCAGAACCAGAACTTGTCAACTGTAACGCAGACAATCAACAAAAAATGCATAAATTAATAACAATAAGAGAAAATGGTGCAAAGCAAAGGAGGCAAAAGTAACAAACTGTAATCGAATGCGATGACGGGCACAACAACTGCACTACAGTCACGGCTAGTCCACAAGGGGGGGCGGGGGGTGGTGTGCACATGTGCGTAGAGGGAGAGGGAGACCAGGGCCAGGGACAGGGACAGAGACGGGGGTTTTTTGTCTACTGCACGCAGCTAATTTCATGCCCAGTGGCGCAGTACCTCTTATAATTGATAGTTCCTCCCCAACCGTCCGTCCGACCGACCCACGGACTGGAGTCTGAAGTGGTTACACGATACGAGCGAGTACCACAACAAAGCATACCAAAGCCGACTCTCTGCCGAAGGACAAAGGAACAATCACGAAGAGGCACCAGCAAGAACCAGGAGCAAGGTTTGAAAACTTCTACCAATTAACTTTGGAACTTAAAAGCGCACATTACAGACGGTTACCCACGACATGGGTTGGTGGCTAGGCAATGGATATGTCGGGATCGCAAGATTATTCTCAGTGTATGATCTGCTGTTCTTCTGTTGTTCTTTGTTACGTTGCTGGCCGTTCGTTTTGTCATTCGCCTATTGCCTTGTTGTTGCTGTACTCCGTGGCGGTGAGAGAGTGCGTAAGCGAGAGCCTCGCTCAGAGAGCGAACCGATTAGAGCTCCATGGTGCCGCTGAGTGCGAGTGAGAGGGAAGTGCCTGCTTTCGAATTGCATTGCGAAAACATTCGGCAAATAAAGCAGGCGTAAAATCAAGTCGGAAGAGGGTGCAAAGGAAAACGAATGATGAGACCCTGAAAATTTCTGGTCTAAGCATGACAGATACCCTGTGAAATCCAATATATATCCTTAGAATTAAATCGTTTCTTCTCTTGAGAAAAGTGCAACCACTTTAAATACATATGTATCCCCGATTCCTGAGTAGCTACAATTTTCAGTGTAATAAATATTATATCATAGTTTACCCCTTTACTTATTCTCTCTCTTTGCAGAACACACCCAAAGCCCATTCCCAACAAGATATCTACTTTATGGACTCCATAACAATTTCTTGCGCATTATCACTCCCCTCCCACCACACCATATCACCATCCGTATCCTCAGGTTCATTAGCACCCAGAGACTCGTAGTGGACCCCTCCCTCCGCCGCTATCCAACTGCTGGCTGGCAAACCCTGGCAGTTACTACAACAAATTGCCAATCAACATTCAGTCTTTGTCGCTTGTCGTCTGCCGTCTGTCGTCTATGACGTTGTAGTTGTCCTCGTCGTAGTCGTTGGCGTTGCCGTTCGTTGGCCCCATCCAGGCGCGGGACATAACCCCTGGCCCCCTGCGACCGGCGCTGGTGTAACAGCTGATGACACGCACTTTGCGTGTTTATTTAATAAATAAAAATTTGCATAAATTTGCCAATGTGCGCTGCGCGGCACAAATTGAAGAAACTCTCTGCTTGAGCAGAATCTGCCTCTGGGAGGAGGCGTCGAGGCGCGATGTCGAGTGGAAATGCAAACAAATTTATTCAGCCATTTGTTACGGGCGTCCTGGCAGAAGGATTCGCTCGATGTGGCAGAAAATCAAAGGATAAAGGAATTGCGTCATAAATGCACACTCTTGTTATCCTTTGTGTGAGAGTCAAGGTTCTCCATGGTTTAGTATACCCTTGAACTACTCATTCTGTGGCGTGCCCCAAAGTACTGTGGAATTATCCATTAACTCAGCTTAGTGGAGCACTTCCCACAATCTCCAAGCTGTTCTCGAGCACTCCCCGAATCGACGCGGCGTTCGCCTTGAACCCAATCCCCAGTCCAAGCCCCCAGCCCCAGCCCCAGCCCAGTCTTATGTCAGACACTCATCATGTAAGCCATCCATCCATCCATCCATCTCTGGGCAAACTAATAACCCGACATCAGATTTCTGGGCGCCCCGCTAAAGTGTAACTAATATGTGAGCGGAACCCCGAGAGAGAGAGAGAGAGGGACAGATGTTGGAGTGCCTTTTGATTAATGGATGCCGCTACTGTTTCGGTGGGAGAGGAGGGGGAAGATTTACAAAAGCATAGAAATTTATGCGCGTTTTGATTCGAGACGCACGACGATCGGATAGCATCGTATCGCATCGTATCGCATCGTATCGCATCGGATCGGATCGGAATCAGAGCCACAGAGCCAGAGGCGCAAAGTACGAAAATTATAGAAGTCGCGATCTTCGACTCTCGGGGCTCGTTCGGTGTGGGCTTCCATTTGGCTGTGGAGTTAATCGACTTTAAGTGATTGGTCAGCGGTCTACTGGCCTCAGCATTGAGCATATCATTTATCTTTTCTCGATATCTAAACATAGAACAAAGCGGGCTGGCTTCCTTCTGTGCCTCTCCTGCTCCTACTCCATCTCCATCCATGCTCTCCGACTCTGCGACCAGTCGCCAGCAATTAGCGGCAATCATTTTTCATTTGTCAGCCATAACATGCACAGAAAAGCACACACAGATACTACTGTGTATCTGTATCTTAAGTGCAACTGGTTATCCGCGACTCTCAATGTCAGCTCTCGGTCCGAGCTTCGAGCCACTTCCCAAGTTTTAGTTTTGCCTTATTTTTTGGGCCGATTCTCAGTGCATTCTCGCGCTGCTACAAGCCATAATTTGCGTTTGTCCGCTTGTGAAATATACGTTATTATATTTCAGGGGGGAGGGAGGGGGCTATTTTTTGTTGTTCTTTTGGGATAATTATGCCAAATATTCAAATAAATTATCAAGCAGAGCAAACTACTGGCGGAGTGGAGGGGGCGGGGAGCAGTGTCGAACAGCTGCACAGTAGCCGCGATTTTCAGGCTTTTGTTCGCTGCGCTTCGAAATGTTGCACAAAAGTTTTCCATGATAATAAATTTGTGTGTTCTACTGCCACACACAGAGAGAAAGAGAGAGAGAGAGAGAGAGATAGTATATGTATCTGTGTGCTTCTGGAGGGGGGCTTGAGATTCTTTTGTTTGGATGCTTTGGCTTGCAACAGAGTTGCAATGCGGAGGGTGTTCAGGGCCTGTCAACCCAAACAAAAGCGTAAAATGTGGAAATGGATATAAATTAGATTCTAGTAAAAGCTGAGGGGGGGTGGCTTTAGAAAGATGCATTTCTTTTCATTTTGAGTCAGTTTCATACCCTACTACCTCCCAGTGTGGCTTAGCAATCGAGAGCTACATCCTAGTTTTAGTCTGGAGGATACAAGGGTATGTATCTCGAAGATACTAAGCAGCTCAGTATAAATAACCGACTCATCTATGTAATGGTGTCTAACTTTTTCTAATTATTCCTTATAGGCATAACAAACAGAAAGCCCCCGTGTAAAGATGTTCAACTCATGGCCATTTCCGCACAAAATGTATCTCTTGCCTTCCAGGCGGGACATTAGCGATGATAATTATGCATATTCATTATGGTCATTAGCCACAAAGCTGGTTGAATGGAATAGTTTGCTCTTGCGCCGTGTCTATCCCCACTCGTGGCCAGGCATTTTCCGAGTGCGACCAAAAGAAAATGCAACGCGTTCGAATGCAAATGCCAGCCTTGGGACTGGGGGGGAATTGTTGTCTTGGAATGGATTTAATATGCAAAGTGTGGCCAGAAGTGCGACTGCAACTACGTTTTATCAGAGGTGTACTTGCAATATATCTTAAAGCAGGAAGTTTCACTTTACTTAACACTCTGCATGGCGGAGATGGAGAACGAGAAGGAGAAGGAGAAGGGTGTGGTCCACTATCACGGCTCTGAGAAATCTACCCCTTGTTGCAGCCAAACCTCACTCTGTGGTCCTGCCTTTTGTAGATTGCCGACCAGCTGACATATCAAATATTTAATCATCGCATGTTGTTTTTTCTGCCTTAAAATTATAATTCTTTGCGGTTTGTTTTGTGTGTTTGCGGGCACTTCTCGTGTGCAATAGCCTTGCCAGAGCCACAGAGCAAAAGCTCAACAAACTTGACATGGAAGCCTTTTACATAAGGCCAAAAAACACACCAAAAAGTACATATCGCTGTACCTCCACAAGCACAAAAACGGAGCGCAACATCTTAGATAAGTCGGAACTGAAGGCTTTTTTGGGCAGTTTTCGCGTCAGGCATTAAAAGTGGCTCATTGAATGCGCCGTTTTGGCTTGATTTTATATCGCGTACATCGCATACATACATCGCATATAGTATATAGCATTCCATGTGCAAATGTACTTTATGATGTTTACATTTCACTTTGTTTGCTCGCTTGTGATTTATTTCACTTCCTTCCTTCCCCACAGCCCAAGGCTGAGGCTGGGACTGAGGTCGACTTTCACGCATCATGACGGCGGCGTCTCCTCCATTCGCTGTTCTGTAATATTTTGTAATTGGAAATCGATGTCGATTCATGATTCGCGATTCGTGTGCAAGTGGCGGAGCAGCAGCAAGGTTGTCCGTCCACTCATCGGGTGGTTTTTCAGCTTTGTTTTCTGCCACAAAAGTATCTTATCGCGCAGAGGGGATCGGATCGAGTGACACAACCGGGAAATTGCGTTTCCAATGGTTACATATAATTTAGAGCCTCTCCATGTGAATCTCATGAAATGTACTTCCGAATGGGGCGAATCTCTGGGCTCAGACGTGGATTCTACTCATCATGCACATGACATGTATTTTGTTGTTGTTTTTTGGATTCGTGGCACCAAATTTAGGTCCCAGTCTAGAGTAAAGCCAAAATGAGCATCGTCATGAACACGATATGCATTTTGTTTTTGAATTATCGGAGCAATGAGAACAGTTGCTTGCCGCCAGATCAGGATATGATCAGATGCGATAGTATGATCTGGTTAACGATAGGTAATTATGTATGCAGGAGGAGCTGTTCAATGTAGCTTCTTGGAGTCTGGTTAGGAACCGGTTTTATAAATACAGAATGGAGGGTGGTCATGGGAGGGCGGGAACACTTTCTGTGACTCCCTATCCATAAACGTGACATTTCATCATCTTAATCTCTTTCAAGGGTCGGTTTCTATTTTGAATTGAATGTTTAAGCACTCATATTTATTCGTGCAAATTCACACTTTTCCGTCTTATATATCTTCACGGAAACTCGATGAAAAACTTGAAAAAAACAGATTTGCGCACGAGTCGAGAGCACGAGCCGCTGCCTTATCAAAGCGGATTCCTCTGAAAGTCTTCACTGGGGGATATCCAGAAATAGCCGCAGGGGAAAAGCATTTACAAAGCTGTGATTCAAGCCACTCCAAGGGTGCTGTTATCCGAGAACCGAGAACTGCGACGCAGTCTGAACGAACCATGGAAATGCGTCTCTAATTTAATATTCCAGCGGATTATTCATAAACATTTGAGCGAATGAGATAAATGAGTGTAGAGGGACTGCAGTTCACTTGTTATTCAATTCCACAGCTGTTTGCATTTCATTATGGAGTGCATCTTAATGTGTTGTTCAGGAATTTGCATAAGGAATGTGGAAACGCACACGCACTAGAAACATTCAGAAATTCCATTGGAATGGTAAATAAAATTGCAATTCTCTGCTGAATCATTGGGCTTAACGATGGTACACCAAAGGCTGAGGCTTACCTAGAATTCCGTGATGTTTAGGACCTCCAGTTTCTTCGCAGTTTCTTTTCTGCTGATCTCTGCAATGAAATAGATTGATACAGAATATAATTAGAGCTGTCAGAGTCGATCAGAATCGTAAGATACATCGGAGGTATTCATCGATAAAGGAAAACTATGATCGATAGTTAAACAGAGCTACTTGAATATTGCAAAATCAATCACATCGAAATCTCTATAAATACCTCTTGGAGTCGTAGCCTCAATATTTGACCTACATTACGGACCACATTCCCCTCCCACGATACGACCCATTTCCCACACTACGAACCTCTCCATCTTATCTATAATTTACACAATTTAACAGCCATTGTCCCTCATCTAGCCGATGGTAAGGAACAGGCGAAGGAATCCTAACATTCAGAACGCAAATATCGCTCGCTTTCCACATTCTGGCCCTCTGGATCCATCTCCTTATCGCGATGCGTGTCTGCAACAGCGTAAATATAATCGTATTCCACTGATAAGCGATGATAAGTGAAATCAAACCCATGGAATACCCAACATTCCCAATCAGTACTTTGGGGGCGTCTGTGAGTCAGTGGCTGATGATAAAATGGTGGGAATCCATAAAAGTGCTTTATTTTCGGATACATTTCTGTGTTTAGAATAGGATTGGCTTGTCCTCTGTTTATCTATAATAAATCACGTTGAATGCTTTTAATTCCGTATGTTATTGGTGTCTCTCTATGCAGCCACACTGCGAGAGAGAAGGATAGAGGGTATACAAAAATGTGCCATTGAGAAAAGGCTTCTGATGTAATCTTCTCCTTGATTGCTAAGCCACGCTGGGAGAAGGAGAGAGAATAAAGAAAAGTGAGGTATAAACACCTTCACTTTCCTTCAGGAATATTCTTATAAATTCTTAGCAAAACATTAGATGCATCAGCGAGGCCTCTGTATGAACTGGCATCTCAAAGATACTGTACACATCTTCTCACGTATTTCATCTTTTTAAAATCGAAATCGAATCATAAATTCGGCGAAAACAAAGGCTAAAGACAGGGCGATATATTAACGTATTAACTGGAGGTATGGCCGCCCCCTTTATGCGTCCCAGAAATCGAAAGTCCCGACAGATAAATATTCGCATGGGTTTTGCAAGGTCCGCACATCTTGGGATCGTGTTTTGTTAGCCGTGAATCACGGCCCAGATGCAATATATTTCGCTTTGTTTCGTTTAATAATTTGCATGGTTGGGCAATTTTTCATTGAGTATTGAGTGGGGCTTCCTGGGCTGCCTCGTTTCCGCGAACAATCCCCCGAAATCGGAGCTCTACCCATTAAATTTATTATCTCCTGCAAATGTTTATGCTGCACCACATTTAAATACACTTTTAAATTGCATGAAACAATTAAGACTTTTCTGTTTTCCACTCGCCAAATGAATAAGCGCTGACAGCAGACAAGAGAAAATCACAAAAAGTTGCCAAGTGAAAGCGTCAGAGAAATATATAGAAAACCAAATGATAATGCTCGAACGTTTCAGCAGCTGTTTCGGACGATTTTGTGTCTATTTTATTGATTCCCGAATGGTTTTTCGGCGACTTAAGTGTGCCACTTTTTGTGGAGCATCAAAACAATAATAAACCATCGGCATCCATCGAAGACGTAACCAAAGGCACTCTTTGTAGAGCGCGGATCATTAAATTAATATTATTATATGGGATTTCAATCAGTTGGCCGACACACCCCCACCTCCCCACCCTTCCGCCTTTCACCATAAATATCTCTTACGAAACAGTTCTCAAATCCAATTGACACTCTGGACAATGGGCGTCGAACCAGAGCGTGGACGGGGAAACAATGTGTGCTAGACGGAAAATCCAATTAGGAGGGCGACCCCCACAAGACCCCCACAAGGCCCGGAGAAGAGGCGACGAAGGCGACTTATCTGCAGCCCCACAGGCGGCACCGACACCACAGCAAACCAACCCAAAAGTCGGCGAAAATCTCGTTCGTCCTGGGAGCAAGAGCCACAAAAAAGATTGCTATGTGCAGCTGCTAATTTAACAGAGAGACAGGCGGACAGGCGGACAGACGGCAGAGAAATATGATTAACCGCACGAGTAACGAGCCAACGGGTACAAAATGGGTGTTGCAATCCGGCAATCCGCGGATCCAAGTATCCAAGTATCCAAGTATCCAAGTGTGCAACTGTTAGATACAAGACGAGGCCTAGGCCGGGCCGGGCCTGGCCGTTGCATGATTTTCCACTCATAATGAAACCGAAAGCAGACAGACAACGGCACCACAGCGAAATCCGCGCGTATTCAACTGTTTTGGCGTAAATTAACGTAAATACTCGAAAACAGTTACCCCAGAGAGACCCCCAACTGGAGACTGGAGAGTGGAGAGTGGAGAATGGAGATCGGTGGAGATCCGAGGACTGGGCACACACCTTGATTTACCTGCGCACAGTAGTCGGGCAGGCGCTGATGCTGATCGCAGTCTTCATCCGAGACCCGCAGCCAATCCCCCAAATCTGGGCAACACGATCATTACGGACATTAGGCCTGTGGACAGCGTCTAAACGGTTATGGTTATGGCTATGGCTATGGCAGGGCCCCAGGCGTATCTTCGAATATGTACATCCGTAAGGCTTCATTAGGCTCTTCGCACACGTGCAAGGCAACAGACATTTGAAGGAATGCCAGCTGGATCTTTATGATCGAAAAGCTGAGAAGATTGGTACCTGACCAAGCTGTCTAAGAGCAAGAGGGTGATCTCACATATCCACCACAAAAACTCCCCTTTTCGGGCATAGTAAATACAATTTATTTATTAATTTTTAAAATAGTTTAAAAATATGAACATTTTAAATTAAACAAACAATATTAAAATTTTAATATTGGCCAGAGTCAAATAATTTATCGTGGAAAATGACAGTCAGGAAATTTAGAATAATCTGTTATTATATTTATATTTTACCTAAAGAAATGAATATATATTGATGTAAAATTAATGCCAAAATCAAGGAATAGTCGAAGGGTGCAGATTTCCCCTAAGCGCGTGAGCGTCAAGTGGAACAGATTTTCAGCTTAATCCAATGCCCAGTATTCATTTAATATCTGCCTGATCATAGGGGGAAGTATATTTAAAATTTTGCAACCCATCTCTTGCGTAATTGTGGCTGCAAAAACGCCTCAAAAATATATAACAAAAGCAGTGTTTGGACGCTCATTAGTCGGGTATTTGATTCCTCATTACCGAGGAAAAAAGCAAGACTGCCGAAAAAGAGTTTCGAAACACATTATCAGCAAATAAAAGAGCAATATTTTGTGTAATTATTTTATAGTTGGAATTTCTCCTACACTCCACTCCACCCCTCCACTCCACTCTTCGCCCACTCTCGCACCTATTTTGACGCCTTCCGATCCGTGGGGTGGAGGAGAGGGGCGCCTACTTTTTACATCATTTATTATGTGGGCAATCGAATAATGGAGGGGGGGAGGCATGTGTTGCATGTGGCTCGTGTGGCACGCTCCGTTGAGTGCTCCCTCCACTCGGCTGCGACCGAATATTATAATACTGGCCCAAGTAGCCACAGATACTCGCACACAGCATTCATCTTGCATTCATCTTGCAGATACGTTTGTATCTGCCAGTGGGCGCTGCGCTGGCCCCCCTCTCCCTCCGTTGCACACACTCGAGTGGCGAGTGTCAAGAACTTGTCTTGGCCATAAAGAGAAACCGGCAGAAATGTGCACCAAATGCAGCAGACAGTCAAACATTTTGATTTGAGAGTTTTTTAACCAGTTTCCTCCACCGCGGTGCACCGCCTGCCCCCACAAAGTGGACAGTGGCAGGTCCACTGGCAAGTCTTTTTATGGCAACCTGCAGAATGAGGAGTACTCTCAGATCATGGACAATGCATCCATGAGATACTCCTCAAGTCAAAGTCAACAAACTCTGGGCCACTGGGAGGGGGATGGCGGAGGTTAGGGTTGGCCATCCCACAATCAAAACAGGTCCAAACGAGTTGAATTTATAACTGATTCTGTTCCATACTGTTCCGAGAGATAACTAACCCTCACAATGCATGCCGCAAGCTGCAAGTAGAATAAGTTCTGAAACGAGAAGTGCAACAAAATGAACGAGGGACCAGAGAGACGGAGAGGCATCGCCAATGAACCTGGCAACCGGTTTCCTCCTCTACGACAAACAAATATCAACCTCTCAGGCCATAAACCAAACAAGTCTCAAAGGGCAGGCCTCTGCGAGATACTCGCACTGGCACTGGCACTGGCACTCGCACTTTTGGGGTAGATACAAAATCAAGTTTGCAGCCAAAGTCTTCTTCATAGAAATCATCGAGAATATCCAGGAGCCACAAGACAGAAGACAGAAGACAGAAGACAGGAGACAGGAGACAGTAGGAAGGCACTTTTTGGTCAATGACTGTCTCTGCGGAGGGAGCCACTCTCCAGTCGCCACTCTCCCCTCTCCACCCTCGCCTAAAACATCATCATCATCATTCATTTTTCATGGTTGAGTGCCTGCCTGCCTGGCTGCCTGGCAGGCAGTTGGCTCTGATTGTTTACAGCTGCCCCGTAGGTACAAGTTGAGATCCAAACGGGTTTGGTACCCCCAGACGCAGACGAAGACGAAGACGCAGACGCACAGCTGTTCCGTTCGCCGCAGATCCAGAAACAAAATATTCCCCACAACACAGGATGCAGACGACAGACCGACAGACGGACAGATACCCAAGTCGCTTGGTCGGTCGGTCCAAGGAGTCACTGAGCACAGACCCCAGACCACCAGACCAGGGCCCACAGGCCAGGGCCAAGGCGGGTGCGGGTGCGGGTGCGGTTTGACCTAAAACGTTCCTCGCAGAACGCGTCTTCTGCCTGCCGTCGCCTGATCGTCGCGACGACGCTTCGTACTCGTATCCGATGGAATGATGAAATTCTCTCTTGGCCCAAAGCTTGCTTTTGGCTTTGTCTTTGTTTTTGTTCCTGCTTTTTTGCTTTTTTCGCCAGAGTTCTCTTTCTTCTTGGGGTCTGGTTTTCCAGTG